TTGGTGTACCCTCGGCACAAATCTGTATCTTTCGAAATTACCTTTATCATCTCCTGTAATTTATTTACCCATAGTGGAGAATCACAATATCATATATCGTCGTCGAATTCTGCATTGTCCCGTGTTCTTTGAAACTGATGGCAATAATTCTGGTGCAATTTCACTGCAATTTTGTCAGCTAGAATTCGAACGCCGCTACGTGACACCGGTTGTTATTGGTGGCATACATTTTTGCCTGTGACTCGTAGTATTTTTGAATTTGTCTGTGTCCTTCAATCCCTCAATCTCATCTAGTTGGTCACCAGTTAAACTTAAAAATCATGTTTTCATTGTTGGAGGTTTGCAATCATTTCAAATTCACAACACGGAGAACACGCGTTCTGGCGATCGTCTAGGTACCTCACGATGTTGAGGGACAGTGGTTTAGTTTTGTGTGGCGAACGACAATCACCCAACGACCAACGCTCACAACTTGGATCCCGCCATTAACAAAAGAAATATTATGGTTATATATTTTTTCAAATGTTTTTAATTCGGTGTTTTTCAATATTTTTTTTCAAAATTCAATCACTATATTTCCCTAAAAATCAAATAATACCGGTTTTATGTATTTCCGTATTAAACCTGTAGTCAATTCATGTTCCAGGGCCACTTGGTTCAGCCGTGCATTATCAGCCAGTATACCAATAATTGCATATGCAAATATTGTTTTTAGAGCAATCAAATCAATAGATTAACACCATTAATATAATTTGTAATAGTACAAATTTGGCCATTTGTACGTGATTTGACTATTTGACTATGGAAGGTGATTATAGCATCTAGATTTAATTTACATCCACCAATATGCGAGTTGTATACATTTTATTATGGGTAGTTATAAAATGACCACTGAATAAAGATTATGCAAATAAGTCATTCTTAGAACTTGTGTATTGTACTTAGTCTGGGGAGTTTAAATTATATAGCTTCTAGAGATGTTAAGTTTTCAGTGCAACGTTATTTCTTTGGGTGTATGGTCTTGCTGATAGTGTAGTTTGTTTTCTTGTAACAATGCGTCAAACACAATGTTCGCCTACTCAACTATATTACACTCTCGAAATGATTGCCTGAGAACAGACCGCAATATACAAAAAAAAATGATCGTTCGTGCGGAATATCCTTACAACAACACAATGTACACTCAGCATACCTACAATATATTATCACGTTTTTTATCATACGCGAAACCAGTACCAGTAAGAGCGATTTTTGACGGTTATTCAGATGTTTTTCACTCGGCTGCCACTTATCAAATACAGGCTGATTGTAATTTTCTTATTTTCTAAAAAGTTCCGTGGTGCGGCTGTCGTTTAACATCACTCGTGATATTAACTAGGCGAGTTCGTAGCATCTTTTTAAATTCTACCCACAAGCCCCAGGTATAATTGTGTTACACCGTATTTGAAGAATCTATATACATTTCAAACATCAATTTTCACATTATATTCTTTATTCTCATTCAAAGCAAACCAAAACATGTATAACTATATAATATACAACGAATCGTATAGGTATACAGATTGAAGATTCCATTTGCAAAAACGTCGAACGTCGTGTCGCTTACTTTGGGGAATCCATCTAAAGAGTTTGAGTTGGTTGACACGTTTATTGCGATATTTCCATCCGCATTTTTTCATGTCTTACTCCACGGCTTGATTGATACAAGGACATTCTGCAATACAAAACATCGCAGTGATTAACAAGACTTTAGCACAAAGCTTGGCAAGATCGATGCGATTGCCTATGATAAAAGCTATGGATGACACAAACTGTCATATTTTTATTTGATTCAAACAAACAGTTGCTGGGAGACTTTTGAATTAATGCATTTATTGGATGTATTTGAACAAATGGCCTCTTGGTCGAATACGGAATGTGATGTCTGTGACATAATTTTGCCTACCTTCTTTAAACTGACAGACGTATCCCTTAGGCTCTCCACAATATTCATCGTCATAGTTACCTTTTTTCGTTGGTCTGTACCTAGAATACAAAACAACGTACATGCAAATATAAGAATGATTTCCTGAATAGAAATAGATTAATGTTTTATACAATGTTACGATTATGACTAAGGGTAATAATGAAGTAGTTAAAGTAAATTGTCTTCTAATGTATTTCTATTTGACATAACATGAAATGAAATGAAGAGCAAAGATACATAGATATTTAGAAACATTTTTTGACTTGAAAACTCGCTCAAAATGATAAACACATATCGATACGCGTAATATTAAGTTGAACATTACTTTCTGAGCCTCAGTGGTGTAATGTATATTAAACATTATTC